CATTTTAAATATTCATGTGTGTTTGTGATTTTTTTTCCATTAGAGTGGTTGTAAAACCCTGCATAGCAGGAATAGGCCAGATAGACAGGGATGGCTTTTCCTGCACTGTTTTTGTTCCCAGGTTTGAAAGCAGCAGTGGCAATTTCAGGGGAGTCATTGCTTTGATTCTTTCATGTGAATGGGTTTGGGTTTTTTTTGGGTTTTTTTGGTGGTTTTTTTTTTTTTTTTTTTGACCTTTTCTTTCTCTGGACTATGGATAGGAACCAGAGGAGGAAAACCAAACCAGGATGAAATTCAGGGTGTTCCTGTGAGCTTCTGCAGTTTCCCTTCAAGTCAGAGTGGTTCAGATTCCTCTTCTCTTGTATCAGATCACTGTCTGCATTGTACTCAAGTCCACTCATGTTTTCATGATCCAAAGCAATAGCTCTTGTTTCCCTTTCTCGGAGAATCTATTCCTTGGTCTGACATTCTCAGAAATTTAACTTTTGTACACCTGTCTTAATTCCCACTGCTTTCTCATCTCTCTGTGTCATTTCCTGTTGCACAGCCTCTGTGCCACATGTATTTATCATTGAAGAGGGATCATGAGCTCCCTTGAGAAAGGCAGAATTTTTTTGAGTCTCAGCTGGTGTCATTTGAAATGCCCTGAATGCCTTCCTTCACCCCAGCTCCCAGTTCAGAAATGTTCTTGTCCTCTGCATGCAAGTATGTCACATCTGCCAGCTCCACATGGTGGTCTGGAATATCCTAAAGCACCTCAAACGTTGCTGGATTCCCACCTGTGATGGTTGCACTAAGCTTTGATCCTCCTCTGAGCAAACAGACATCATTTAACCAAGGACACCCTGGGGTGAGTCTCTACAGTAGGAGCTGAATCCTGTCTGAAATGTCTTGTCAAGCACACTGTGATGTGAAGGAGAACTACTCCCTGGTTTAGCTTGGATTTTATATGAGATCTTGAGTAAATCCTTCAAATCTTGGTGCTTCATCTGTCAAATGGGACATTATAGAGCTCTGCCTCCTCGTGCTGAATGTAGGTGAGCAGATGTCTCACTGCAAGGGCTTCAGGGTTCATCCCTAAAGGAATCTGGGGGATTATTTCTTGTGCTCTGTCATTCAAGACACAGGGACTTGACTCCTTGATGGTGCTGACTTTGGCCTGTGACTTTGGCCTCTGCCTTCCTAGGGCAGAGAGGTTTTAGGAGAATCCCAGTCTGTGCCAGTCTGACTCGTTGTGGGCAGGTGGGATACAGATCCCAGAGCTGCAGCCCCACAGGAGCTGATTTGCTCCTGGCTCAAGAATGCCTGCAGAGATGGGGTAGTGCGTGGTGGGGGTGTTCCACTCCCAAGACTGAGAACAGAGTGGGAAGAGTGGGAGTGGGCTTTTTTGGAAGTGACTTCAGTGTTTATCCAACCTCATCCCTTTGATAAACAAACATTGGAAGGGAATTGAAACTTACTCATGCTCCATGAAGGTGCATCAGTTACCACGTGCAAGAGTCAGAATCAAAATAAAAAATTACTGCTCATGTGATCCAACTCTTCAGAACTTTTTGTTTTAGTTATAATTGAAGAGATCTCTAAAGTTGCTTAGACATAAGGTCTGGAGAAGTTGAGAGGAAAAGCAGGGATTTTTTTCCCACAGTCTGTGAGAATTGTAAACTGTATGAAGATGTCACGGGCAAGAAGTCGCAGGGAAAGTTGGGAATGGGAAACTTGTGGTCAAGATGACAAAAGTGCTGTGTCATTTAAGTCTGTATGAGAGAGCTAGGGAACAGTTTTGTGGCAGTAACAGTGATGTAAAAGTCTTTACATTACTCCGTAGTTCCTGCTGACATCCACCCACAGATCTCCCCCCTCACACCCAGGTCCAGATCCTGCTCATCACCAGGGTGCCAAAATTCACATTCAACACAAGGCTTGTGAACTTTTAAACAACAGCAAAAATATGTCAAGCTGCCCAAAGATCCTTCATTGCCTCCCTCAGATCTTGGTGCAGATGAAGAGACAATGAGCTGTTCTGTACGGGGGGGACTCATCCCGCCTGACTGCTGGTGCTCGCACGTCCCCTGGCAAGGGATGGAGTCAGACACCTTGGGAGCATGAGTCAACCCCTCCCTGTCCCACACACGGATGTCAGGACAGGCTGAATCACTTTCTGGGGGTGTCTGCCTCTCTCTACTGGCTGGAGGAGACGTTCAGATGACTGTCAGCAGCCCGGGTGCCGTGTGAGTGACTCAACACATGCACTCTGAGCAATTTACAGCAAAGGCTGTGATTAGTGGAGGGTTCTGCCCTGAAAACATTAGGTAAAGCTTTTATGTGCAAACTGGGGGATTGTTTTGGGTGTATTTTATTCCTCTCTCTTTTCTAGAATAAATGAGCGCAATAGAAACATTTTTAATCAAGGGTGACACATCTGTCTCCTGTGGGTTGGTGCTGCTTGAGTTTCCCCAGGTACAGCTAATGCTGTACAAGTTTCTAGTAAAACAGCATTAAAATACGGCAATAAATGACATATTTTTTTCCCTGCTAATCATGGAAAGTTTTTAAACTGAATAGCCAAGAGGTAGTGCAACAAACAGTACTTATACACATAACAAAACTTTGTGCCATGACTCATCCTTCCAAAACTGTTAATAAAGTCAACCAAAAATGTAACTCATCTTGTAGGTTAAAAATTAATCTAATCTACATCTGTTTGAGTATGAGGCTGTTCATATTTAGGAGTTTCCATCCATTATGGGGAGAGACTGGAGGAGCTGGGCCTGTTCAGTCTGGAGAAGACTGAGAGGGGATCTCAAAAATCTACATAAATACCTCCAAGGGGTGTCAGAAGATGGTGCCAGACTCTTTGCAGAGGTGCCCAGTGACAGGATGAGGTGCAGTGGCCGTAAAATAAACCATGAGAACTTCCACCTCAACATGAGAAAGAACTTCTTTATGCTGAGGGTGGCAGAGCACTGGAACAGCTGCCCAGGGAGAGCATGGAGTTCCCTCTGGAGACATTCCAAACCCACCTGGATGTGTCCCTGTGCCACCTGCTCCAGGTGATCCTACCTTGGCAGAGTGATTGGATGATCTCCAGGGCTTCCTTCCAACTCCAACCATTCTGTGAGTCTGTGGTTGGAATCCCCAAGTCTTATGTGCAAGTGTTTCTTAGTGAGGACTTAGAACTTGGGGAAAATAGTGATTTTCTTAAAGCTAGTGGCTTAAAGCTTCCCTCTTGGATAAGGCCACTGCTCTCACTGCTTTGCTCTATGTTGTTTTTTAAAGTTCAGTCTGAAATTTGAATGCACATTTGAGCCCAAAGACAAGGGATTCAGAGGTAAACTTGAGAGCTGATGAAAAAGTGTGGTTTTGGTGGACTTTGCAGGCTGTGAGAATTCCAACGAGGGCAGAGTTGGAGTCTGCCATCCTTCCTGGCCTTCTTCTCCATCATCTCTCCTCCAGACTCAGATGGGTTGGAAGGAGGGAAATCTAACCCTACCACACTGTGGGGTGGGCTCCTCAAAACCAAGATAAATTCTACAGAGTGAGGTCTGAGGAGTCAAGGGACCTTATTTGCATTCCCATGGAAGCAAGGCTCCTGTGAGCAGAGAGAAATAAAAACAGGAGAAGAAAAAAATTTAGGTTTTTCAGGCATTTTACCTTTTTGACTCTGAGCAGCTGCAGCAAGATGTTCCTGGATTTTCTTAAAGAAGTAGAAGTCAAGATCTGGACCTATCACTCAGTTACACATCAGAGGTGGAGGGGCATTTCTCACTCTTTTGCTTGGAACCAGTACCAGTTTTTCCTTTGGACTTTAAAGGTGATGTTCCCAGATAAATCTTTGGCTAAGGCCCAGTCCAAGCATAGCTACCAAATTACTGAGCTTCTCAAATATGGATTTTGGTCCATCACGTGTTTCCTCACCTGCAGAACAGTTGTCCAGTGAGAAGCAGAGGGGGCAAAAGAATAAGATGCCAGCAGCTCTTTCTTTTCCCCGGAATCTCTCAATTAGTTTTTATTGTGATGCTTTGCTCCATGAGTTGTTCAATCTACCCTTGTGATAATCAATGGAATTACATTTTTTAAAGCCTCTCAAGTATGGTGGAGTCACTATTTTATCTTCTGGAGGAAATAAATTGCTTAAATGTTGGTTGGGGTGGAGAATAAGACCAGGTCTCTTTGGAATATCATGGGGTGTTCTGCCCCATGTCAGGGTGCAGTGGGATGTTTTGAGAGCTGAAGGTGACCCCAGTGCAGGCTGTGGCTTCCCTGACATGACTGTGACTTGGATTTGTGCTGCAGCCAGGAGACAAGACTGGAGAAGGGCTACCTCTAGTATAGGTCTTGGGTACGTCCCAGAAACAAGGCAGGGGATTTGCTGGAGAGATCAGATCCTTTGTTTTGGTACTCTTTCAAGGGTATTGATGAGTCTTGATGCTCCCTGGATTCACGTGTTTGTCTGCATGGGACAAAAACCATGTTTTTCCAAAAGGCAAATGCAAATGGGGATTCCTGAGTAAGGCAGAATCAATGGGAATGTTGCTGAAATAAAAGTATTTTACAATAAAAAAGAATCCAAGCAGTTGCAGGGAATATAGGTGTCCTGCTCTTGCCGTGGTGCATTCCAAGAGAGATTCTGCTCTCCAAGAAAGTAACTTTCACACTTGGGCTTCAGCATTTAGATGGGATCTGGATTTCAAACTCTCAAATGTGGATCCACTCAGGAGGAGCACAGAGGCTGTTCCCCAGTGGAACTGCCAGGGTGGGGTGCCCAATCCAGTGGCTCAGGAGGATAAGGACAAGGAGTCAGAGAACTCCTGAATACAGCACCATTTCCAATTCCCACACTGATATCTCTGTATTTCTCTCCTCCAGACTGTAAGGACAACCTGACGTGAGTTGAACCTTCAGGCTCCAGAGCCTGCCCCAGATGCAATAATTTAGTGAGCAGATGATGTTTTCCACCAAAGCTCCTGTCTAACTCAGTGGATCTGTGTGTCTTCCGGCAGGTGTGTCCTCTGTGGCCTCCCTGATGTCCCTGGCTTGGGTGCTAGCCTCCTATCACAAGCTTCTTCGGGACTCTAGGGACGACAAGAAGAGTATGAGCTACAGAGGGGCCCTCATCCATCTCTTCTGGCGCCTCTTCACCATCTCATCCCGAGTTATTTCTTTTGCTCTCTTTGCTTCCATCTTCCAGCTCTACTTTGGGATCTTTGTAGTGGTCCATTGGTGTGCCATGGCTTTCTGGATCATCCATGGTGGGACAGATTTCTGCATGTCTAAGTGGGAGGAGATCCTCTTCAACATGGTGGTAGGGATTGTGTACATTTTCTGCTGGTTTAATGTCAAGGAAGGGCGGACTCGATACCGAATGTTTGCGTATTACACGGTGGTCCTGACGGAGAACGCTGCCTTGACGCTCCTTTGGTATTTTTACAGAGATCCTGACACCACTGACTCCTATGCCGTGCCAGCACTGTGTTGTGTCTTTCTTAGCTTTGCTGCTGGGATAGCTTTGATGCTGTTATATTATGGTGTGCTGCATCCCATGGGGCCAAGAGCTAAGATCTTTGCCAGCTCCTGTTGCGCCGAGCTGCTCTGGGGCATTCCTTTGCCCCCCGATGTTGAGCCCATGGCGCCCCAAACCCCTGGGTACCGGGGGGCCCAGGCTACGCCCACCAGAGCGGTCACGGAGCAACAGGAGGAACTCACAGCTGACACTTGCTTGCCCGTTTTCCAGGTGAGAGCAATGGTACCATCTACTCCATCTGGGCGACCCTACCCCCCCGAGGGGCCTCTCATTAAGATTGACATCCCAAGAAAAAGATATCCTGCCTGGGATGCTCATTTTGTAGACAGGAGGTTAAGAAGAACTATCAACATCCTCCAATATGTCACCCCCACAGCTGTAGGTATTAGGTATAGAGATGGACCTCTCTTATATGAGTTGCTACAATATGAATCTTCACTTTAAAGCTCCTTAAAGCAAAAGAGGGGACCTTATTTTTGTTTACGGTAAACACAGATCATGAAACAAACACAAACCTTCAGATAAGCTTTCTTTCTGGTTGCTGTATGTATAAAAAAAAAAAGATATTCTCTATGTTTTGTAAGTAAAAACAAAAAGAAAAACTTTTCTTTTGTTTTTTACACACAAGAAACAGTATTTCAACTTCCACACCTAGGATTCACAGGTGGAGAAGGAGGCATCTCCACATCAGTTTTATACCGTACACCAAGTGTAGAACATTATTTATGGGATTGGTGCTGATTGAAAAAAAAAAAAAAAAAAAAAAACAAACAAACAAACCTACAACTGCCTTATGCCCTTAGGTGCTGAGTTTCATTAAGTACTGTCACCTTTCTCATGCAAAACTCTTTGATGATTATATGCCAGGAAAAAAAAAAAAAAACAAAACAAAACAAAAGAAAAACCAACCATCCAACTGAAATGCAAACCTTAAAATTAAAAAAAAAAAAAACAAAAAACAAAACAAAACAACAACAACAAAAAGAGAAATGTATGAATAAAAAAATAGTTTTGTTGCTCATATTGGATTTAGCAGAAAACACCCTCCAAATGTGTACAGATAAGAAAGAAAAGATAAGAAAGCAAAGCCAAGATAACCCAAATGGAGTTTGATTTTTCCAACAGCTGAAATACAAAATCAGGTCTGTAAGATAATTTGGCTGAGAATTTATAACACCATTGGGCCAAGCCTTGACCGAGTCGTGTTATAAAGGTGACCCCACCCTGGGACCGTTTTCCTCATGGAAATGGACCCTGTTCAAAGGTGGGATTGTACCAGATCAGTGTGAAAATACAGGATCTGATCTTGTTCCCAACAACTGCTCGTGCTAAAGCCCCACTGTCTCCAGTGGAGCAAATACCAACAGTCTGAGCCCAGAATAAGGTCTGCCACCTTGATTTCTGGAAAATGTGAAATTATCAAAATTATAAACCAAAACCACGATCCAAAAGTACATTTCCACATATCTAATAATTATTTCAGTAATAATAAAACTCAGCATGGTAGCAAAAAGTGAGTCAATTTAAAGGCACAATACTTGATCAGTGACTGGCAAAATAATTTGACCTACTGTATCATTTTAAGGCTGTGAAAGGCATACATGTATTATTTGTAATCTCGTGTAAGACCTGTCATGTCTCATTCAGTGCGAGCCTTAAAGTGATTGTAAAGCATCCTTTGTTCCATTTTGGGGATTTTTGGGTTTTGATTTTTTGTTTTGTTTCTGTTTTGTTTTTAAGGAAAACAAAACATGAAAAGTCGGGATTAAAAAAAACACAAAAAACACAAAAAACAAACAACAACAAAACAACCAACAAAACTTCTTCAAACGGTAATAACCTGTAAAACTGACTCACGTCTCGAGATGAATTTGGTGCTTTGTATTTCTGTTGATGTTGTTGTTGTGATTTAGCTGAGAAAATTCTTCGACTCGGTTACATGTGGGGAACTGCTGATAAAAACTGTCTCGTGTCACCCTCTACTGTAAGTACATGGCGAGAAACAACAACCAGAGGAAACCCAAGAGCGTAGCGAGAGCGCCGTGGTTTAGCTTAGCCTTCCACCGCCAGGAGATGCTGCCACCTCCGATGCTGGCAAAGCCCAGACGGTCCCACCGAGGGCTGTGGGGTTGTCTTGACATTTCCAAATAACCCGCTCGGTGTCTGAACATTCTCATCTCTCTCGGATTCTGTTTCTGTGCTGGAATATCTTGGGTTTGTTTTTTTTTTTTCGAGTTAAATCACCGGGTTTGCGTCTAGCCGACACCCTCTTTCCGTTTCGAGAGTATTGCTCCTTTAAAGGAATATTCCCGTTTCAGGGCATCTTTTCAATCCCACCATCCCTCTACTTGGGAGGGGAAAAACAACAACAACAAAATGAGATATTTTTAAGTGAATGCTGTAGTATTTTCTGTGTGTAATTGCAATTTTTTATTCCAGAAATACTGTAACTGTCTAGGGTGCAAAACTCCCATGCTGACCTATTCTGATGAGAAGATCAGCATGGAGGGATATTTTTTAATTATGATTATGATTTTTTTTTAATTTCAGGAATCAGTTGGTTTTTTTAATTATGATAGTATTTAAAGAAACTAGTACCAATTTTATATAACAGTTTAAAGAAGCTGAATGCTTTCTTCGCCTGAATATACCTGAAGAGAAACATTTTTTTCAATCAGTGATCCTTTGCAGTGTTCTGAGAAAATGTTGGGGTTTCTTCAGTTGTTTAATTTTGTTTTGTAAAGGAAACTTTCAACTGGTGTCTGTCCCCTTCAAGGAGGGCAGGACTCCTTCACGCCAAACTATAGACACACGGCAAAGTTTATACAAAGCCAAATTGTCAGTGGTACTGTAATTCCCAGTCAAACTCCATTTCAGGCAGGTGTTTCTGGGCTCTGATTCCAACCAATGTGATGGTCACATTTTCATGCAAAGGGAGGGATTTGGTCCTGTCATCCCGTCTAACTCCCCAGTCCCTTGTTTGCTCTGCACATAAATACATATATATATATATATATATATATATATATATATATGAACTGATATATATTTGTGAAAAGTTTTCATTTCCCTTCTCCCTTCTGTGCCCCACAGCCAGCTCCTTCTCAAGTGTTCTACTAACATTTCACCCTGTTTCTCCCCTGATCAGTGTACCGTCTCCATAAAAAGAGGTAATTTGTGAAGTGAACTCGCTGTCCCCACCCGCTGAGTCCTAAAAACATGGAGGTGCCCATCCTCCAGCTACAGGCCTGCATTTCTCCTTCCAGAACTTTCTTTTGACTTGCCTTTAATGTTAATGTAGATTTATCTTGATCTAATTCCCCATGTAAAAGCTCCCCTTGGTCCTTGCATGAAGAGGTCTCCTCCTCACATTTGCATTTCCATGGCAAAAGCATGAGAAAGGAATGGATGGCAAACAGTCCTGCTGTTCCCAGAGGACCATTTTTCCAGGAGGTGGCATTCTTGTTTTCAAAAGCACCCTAAGAAGGTCCTGCTCCCCGAACTCATCAACCTTGAGGTCTGGAAATGTGGTGCTCATCACTGACCCCATTGAACAGCCGGACCCTTCCCACCAGGACAGTGACAACGAGCCAAGGCACAGTCACCAGGTGCCAGGAGGAGGAGACCCTTCAGTGTTGCCTCTCATGAGCAACTCCAGCCTGCCTTCCCTCAGGAACGGGATCTTACTCCACACCACCACACCAACAGCCGTCGCCTCCGCCCTGTGCCGGGAGTGGAGGGGCAAAACACTCTGGAAGTGTCCTTACTTCTCAATGCAGTGCTAACTTCTCACAACCAAACCAGCTTAACCAAGGGCTTGACACATCCCTGTTCCAAAGCCCTCCTCCTTCGTGGCTCGTAGTGTGGATAACAACAAAGGCAGGTGCCTCCACTGCGAGTTGAGACTGTTTCACTACTTGCATAAACTTTCTGCCTCTGCTTCTCCTTTCTTTGAATGATATCCATCAGCATTTTCATTTAGCAAAGGATTTCCAGGGAGAGCCTGTGTCGTCCCTGAAGAACTATTACTTTTTCCAGGACTTCATTATGGCCTTAACATAAAGCACGTGCTCTGCCACTACTCCCAACCTGTTCCTAGTGGACAGTTTGGTGTGGTGACCATTTCCTTTTGGGATTACCTGTGATCTTGTTGCCAAACAGCGCCTTTTGCCAAGCCAAAAGCTCAGGGTGGAAAACTACCCCAGCCCTTTATTGGTACTAATCCCAGTGCTAAGAGTCTCATCCTCTCGTCCTGTTTTATTTTTTTGCCCTTTGATTTTTTGGTGTGCACTTTTGCAGGATGGTCAGCAACTTCTTTTGGTTTCACTTTGATTTTAACTCCTCAGCTTTTGCCTGGTACCTTTTTTTATGCCATATCCCACCTTCTGGCCAGAAGATACTGCATGAGGAGCTTCTCAAACTGCCATGGAAAAGGTTGAGCCTGTTTCTATTCACAACATCGGTGGGCAAGCTCTCTGGCACATTTGTGGTGCTGGATTCACCCTGGGATCATCTAAACCAGCCAACTGTGCCATGCCAGGGCAATGCCGAGGCACGAGGGCTCCACCATCCCGACTGTTATTGCTCAAACCTTCCCTGGCGTGGTTTTGATCCACTCCAAATAGTCCTGGGCTCAGGCACAGCTTGCCCAGGCTTTGGCACTGGCCAGAGGTCATCCCCAGTCGGCAGTTTGGATGCAGCTGCTCCGTATCAGGGGTAGAAGATTTTCGGAATCAGGATGGGGCCAGCACTACTCAGTTGACTTCATGGCCAGAATGGATCCTGAAAGAGCTTAATTTCCTGATAAAAATGTAACTCCATGCCACAGATCAGGATGCAGGAGGTGGTGGAGTACGTCAGCTCCGATCTGGCATTTTTCTGTTTTCTGCCTGATTCAATGGACAAGTTATTTTTCAGTTAACTTTGTTCCTTTTGCTGAGGTGGTTTTGCAAACTGCATCACTTTTATGGCTCAGATGTCAACCCATCCATCCCTCCATCCATGTCAGATGGATGGCATGTTTACTGTGATAGTGTTACACATCCATAGGCAGCTAATTCAGAGACAGGAATCATTCAGACCAGAGCAAATCAACAGTGGAAACACAGGAATTACAAGGTCCTTGCCCATGCCCTTGTCATGCTTTGCCACCCACACGAGTCATTTTTCATCTGCAGCTAATCCAACCTGAACTGTAGAAGAGGAGCCAATGGTGAATATTTACCAGTCCAAAGTGCAAGTGAGACACCCATTTCAAGTATAAATATATATATTTTCAGTGTTTGGGATTGGAGCTACTTCTCGGCTTCACCCCGTCCTTTTGTGCACCTGCCAAAAGTCAGCAGTCATTTGCATGTATTTTTATTTCAAGCTGACTGGATGAAATGGCAAAATTAATTCCAAGCTTTAGTGAATTGTCTGCTAAAACCTGGCTCACGAGAAGA